TCTCTCTCTCTCTCTCTCTCTCTCTCTCTCTTTCTCTTTCCGCGAATGGAGACAGTGAAAGATATACCGAGATTAAAATCTCGATCGAAGTGTAACGTGTTTCGTCCTCGCGATTATTTACGAGTGCGTTTCGCATACGTCGAGGGCACTTATAATGTAACTTTAGCATCTATTTACCGGATGGTGTGCACGTGTATATACTTTTTTCAGTTTATCTCATTTTGTTATGGAAGTTCGGTAGCAGCGCAACGGAAAGATTTATCTTGCGTAATGGAAGGAGACAGCTTTGAAATTGTATAGCGTAGCAGAAATGCGATGCCATCGGTGGTGCTCGTTGCTCATCGAAAATATGCGATGCGAATCGAAAAATATCCTATCCATTGTCTTTTCGTTTTTTTTTTTCAAAATATATCGTTCAATTAATGAAGATTACGAAGCAATTCCTCTTTTATCGATTTTTCTCTATCGCGTAAACGTTTCATTTTTTTGTTCTTGAAAAAATTGAAAATTTGACATTTCTCGATAATAATAATAATAATAACAACAACAACAATAACAATAATAATGTAATTTTACGATATCGAATAACGATAAATTTGACGTGCAATTTAGGCTGGACGAACGAGCAACAGCCCCAAAGAAACCGCACCTTCAATTGTCGCTTCTTGGTGAAGCCTCCTGATGATAAAGAAGAGACTATGGAAGAAAAGCAGCAACGAGTATCGAAATACGAATCTATGCAAATCTGTTCAGCTCTTTTGCCAAATAATAGCGATCGTCTGGAGAGCGGTGACGTATCTTCCGAATCTTCGGACAACGGTCCTTGCGTAATGTGCGTGGCTCGTAGGATACCCCCGAACGAAAAGCCCATTGGTACGCCCATCGAGCAATTTACCGTCAAGTTGGACACCACGGGGAAGATTATCGCGGTTGATGTTATCTGGTTGTCGTCTCCTTACTCTGAGTACCTAAGCAAGGTAAGCAAGGTAAAGATTCCAGATCTATCTTGCTTCGAATTTGTTATTTTTCTCGAGTGGTAGTCATTCCCATCCGTTACTTAACATTACATCGATCTACTCTATTTAGATCGTAGATCGATTATTATATTTCAAATCTTATATTTTCATTACCGTATCATTCTTTTAAATGAAAATATCTCTGATTTCGATTCCAATGATCGATCCTTGATTATAATTATATTCGTTCGTCGTTTTGTTGCAGGAGCTGATTGGCACTGCGATAAAGGATTTGTGCCACCCTCATGATCTCAATAAGCTAACAGCACATTTGAACGATACGCTTCAAGTCGGTGAGAGTACCAGTGGTGTATACCGATTACGCGTTAGTCCTGATAAGTTCCTTAATATTCAAACAAAGTCAAAACTTTTCAAAGCAAATGTGATGAATACACTTGTTACCGACTTCATTATGGCTACCAATACTATTATTGGGTAAGTTGAACGATTTTATACTTTCCTTTTTTATACGTATAGATATCGAGTTACGCGTTAAGTCGTGAAATATAAACGTGTATCTTCGAGATTGAAAAGATCACTCTCAGATTAATTTATTATTTTTACGAAATATAATATTCGATCGGGATCAGAGATGAGCAATTTTTTTTTTTTCAAATTTCATTTCTTATTATTAATCTGAGATCAAATTGAAAGCCTTGATACATTGATTACCAAAGTATAGTAAGAGCGTAAAATTAAACGGATATATGAAGCAGCGAATTAGAATTAATACGTGATACGTATATCCGAATAAATTGTGATAAAAATTTGAAGAAAATTAAAATAGACGTTTCGATTACGAAAGATTAAATATCTTATCTCAAGCTGCTATGGTATTCAGTGTGTTGAAATTAAGAATAGTTGTACAGTTATTAACACACGTACACGCACATTATAAGAGGATAACAAGAATGAACCAGTAGAATCTCGATTATCGTGCAGTTTACGAGATCATTAATAGATAGTTAAATCGGGAAAATTTAGTGGATAATTATATCCAATAAGATCGGTATATTTTCCGTATATAATTAAATCGTTCGTCTTCTTATTATATTATAATTAGTATCGTTAAAATGCTCGAATAGTCGATGTTCTGCTGGATAATTAAGTTAACGTACCTACCCCTTCGTATCGCTTTATCACTATTGGACAAGGGTGACTATATCTACACGAAATATTCTACCTAATTTTGAGACTTTCCGCTGTCCTAGGTCTCTGCCTGTAATATATTCTATTTGCCTAATTTCTCCGCGTTTATCTTATTAACTTATCGCTTCGATAATATTCTCG